GCAAGCCTCAGGTATTTTATGTCACTTTGGAGGGTAAAATCTGTGACTGTCTGCCTGGCATTCTATTATCCCAAATCCCCTGTTTACCGGGCGTATAATAGGAAAAATAGAGGTTATTATCCTTCCCTGGGAACTTGGTTACAGTGCAGAGCGAGATCTTGCTCCTGTTGCATCCGAAATTGCTGTGATTAGGACACATAATCCACCGTCACAGGAGACTTGCCACAACGGCTTGAACACTTTCCACCTGACGTTTTAGTGCAGCCAAACCTATGATTGGCACTTGATTAGCAACTAATCCATGCCATTATCTCCTTCTGAAAAATTAGTTGAGAAGAAAATGGCGTCGTAAATCACAGAGGTGGCAGTGTGACGGGGCTTTGAAGTGCCGCGAGGACCTAGGAAAGATAGTTACCGCGGATACCACAAAAAAAAAATGGCGAGAGCGGTTCGCTCTTGTGTGGGAACTGCACCTCCTGGTGTGAGAGCGCATTGATAAAAGTTTTAGTCCCTACGGACCTGTGCACAAGAAGCGTATGTGAGATCTCAGTGGATCAGTGTGTAATGACCACATCTACTCCCCTCTGTGAGATCATGGACATACATCCAGACTTCTCTATATCCAGCCAGGTAGAACCTCCCCCCTCCTGCTCAGCCCGTCCTGCCTCCTCTGGCTCCAGCCCTGAACCTAACCCCGGAGGAGCGGAAAATAATTAGGAGAGAAAATTGCAGCTGACACTATTTCTGAAAAGCAGGGTATTGTAATGGGAGCAGAGCAGGTATTCATTGTGTCTGAGGGAGCGATTGAAAGCCGTTTGGTTTTTTCGGGCTGCCTGACGGAAGCCCCCGGGAGAGAAAGCAGAGCTTTTGCTGAGTCCCTTTATGCATGTGGGAACGGAGCCCTGAGAGGACGGGGCAGAGGTGTCTCCAACAATGGCGGGAGCCAAGGTTACAGCTGAGTAACTAATTCAAACTGCTCTGGACTGACACGCACCCTGACATGCACACACACTCGTCTCCTTTGTCTCTCTCAATGTGGCCTCTCCTTCTGTCCCTTGCTCTGCTTGCTCCCATTATGAGTTCAGAGGGATGCCGTCCAGCCGCCACAAAAAGTTATCTTCATTAGCTGGGCGGAGGGGCTGCTCGGGGAAGCTTTCTCTGAACATGGCAATCGGAGAAGATGAATACATGTTCTGTCCCACATAGGTCCTCCCCGGAGCAGTGCCAGGCTGCAGAGAGGGAGAGGGAGATAAATTAACTGCTGTATTTTTCATCGGCGGCCGAGGAAGCCCAGGAGTGGGGTGGACGGAGGCAGACGCCGGCCGTCTGAATATTAAGCCTGTTAAATGAAATGGCCTCAACAGGAGTAAAAACATGGCACTTGGCACCACTAGTGGTGCGTGGCACAGCTGACCGAGCACGTTAGGGCTCCTGCTTGTCATGTGACTGGAAGCTGTGAGATCAGAGAGGTTGCGTTGATCACCTTTCGGTGATGCGAAGCACGTGCATCACCTCCTCTCAGGATGGGAGCACTTTTTTTTTTGCATTTGGATACAATTATTGCGTCCAAGTAGAACGGAGAAAAGGAACAAGGACATCGTGGTTTTCTATTCAGAACTATTGAATATGAACATGACACAGGAATGATAATAAGATAAGTGGAACTTTCCTCTCGCGGCAAAATTCCAGTTGAATGAGGTTTACCCGATAATTTAATTTGCAGATAACCAGAATTAGCTGACCACGTGCAAAATTCACAATTGTTTAGGATTTGTCGAATCCTTTGTGTCTTTGAGACAGGAGGGTGAGCTGACTTGTCCTCCTTTCTGAAGTGAATGTAAAGGCCAGTCGTACTTAATGAGAATCTGAGGCTGCCTTTCTAATGTTGCAGGCTTCAACAATGTAGAAATCTTCAGGGAATAATGCTGAAATTCCACTTAAATGCAAAAGCAAATGATGGCCAAATAGCACGTGGGTCATATCTTCACTTCCCTCAGGTTTTGTTGACTCGGAAAACTTCACAATCACGTTTCGATCGCCTTTAAACCCAGTGTGCTATTGAATTTGAAATGACAAAGTACATTATGAAACCTCACTCTGTCTCTCTGGCCTCAAGCCCCCGAATGCATCTTTATCAAAGGCGCACCTTTGATTACCCACCATGCATCTGTGGCACTCCACCTATTCCGCGAAGCAGGTAAATCAAATCTATAGCAGCAGCATGCAAGGCTCTGGCAATCAGCTGAGATGAGTTCGGCATCTGGTTCTCTATTTACTGGCACTGGGAGCAGATTCCCGGGCTTGTGGGGACCCGCTGACACTACAAGCACAGTGACGCACGCCGCGGTATCTAAAAAAGTCTTCCGTGGTCACCGTTGCTTATGCAACCATGAACAGGAGGGGCTGTGAAATGGAAGCTGAAAGTATTATCTACAATCTTACCCTTCAGCTGCTGAGATGAAACACAGAAGCAGCCCCGCTTTTGCTGGCTGCGTTCCCAAGGTGCTCATAGGTAAGAGTTCAGCCGTGCCTGGTTGTGATCAGAGGAGGCTTCTGGGGGGGAATGGACTCCTGAGGGAACACTGCAAACTGGAGGAGGGCATTATTACATTTTCATAACTTGGCTGGCCTCACACGAGCATGAAAGAAATCCCCGTTTCCAGCTGTTCAACTGTCTCTCAGCTGATTTCAGGTTGTGCCAAAGTGTTTTGACAAAACAGCCATTACTATGCAACATAATAAATCAAAGCAAATAAATATTCCTTGTATTTGTCGCTTTTTATTTGTTGACCAATATAATGCAGAACATTTGTATCTATTTTCCTTCTTTTTGTGCGCCTGCATGATTGCCTGAGAAGAATATGCAAGCTCATGCTTTTTTTTACTCTGGCAAAGAAACGGAAGGAGAGTAGAACAGACATTGATATCAACGTGCTGCCGGATGGAGGGGAGGCCATTTTTTGTTTACCGTAGCTATTACTTCCATTGAAAGGAGCAGCTGCCTTCTACAACCAATACGATTGCATCCATCCAATAGCCATCAAGCTTTTCTTAATGATCCACATCACATTGCAAAGGGAAAACTGTATTCAAAGGTTTATGCATAGAAACATTAAAGACTAAATTGGAAATGCATTCAAATTCATAGGTTATATTAAAAAATATATATTACGCAAAGACAAAAAGAGGATAGCAAGAAAAGTATTAATGAAGTTTTAATGATTTTAATTAACACATTTCAACCACATTAGAACTCCGTGTCTGGGATCATACAACTTTAATGACTGAGGCCTGTGGACAAGTTGATCAATTCAACTTAGGCTTTACATTAAGTGTTAGTCTATCAGCTGGAATGAAGACATTAGAAACAGACGCAGATCAGGTGAATCCATTTAGCTGCTTGGATCTTTTCTCATGTGGCGCCTGAGCCAAAGACAGAAGACGATTCAAAGTTGTGTTTTATGGCAGGAGTGTGTATGTTGATATAAACGAGAAGCATGCTGTCCTCGAGCTCTCAGCTCAGCCATTTAGCGATGTTAAGAAGCAATTATGATGCAAATAAGTGTGGCTGATGATCATGGACAATCTTGTTTGCACAGTGGATGTTATGAAGATGCCGAGCCTACAGCCAGCGGTGCATCTGCTCCGCGCTGCGTTAAGTAGCTTCCACTGTTCACTGATACCTCCTCATATCCACATCATTGTCACACTCATGTTACTTTTTTTGAAAAGCCATCAGGATTCGTCTCTGTCAGCTGCCTGTCCCTTAGTCCATTATAGATGATTGATAGAGCCGGAAAAATCTTCCGCCCAGCTGTTGTCATTGAGATTGAAAGGAAAGAGGCCGTTCTTCTTCAAAAGACCTTTTGTCTGTGTTGACGATGTGAAGCAAAGCACATTTTTGCAGATAGTGTATAACCAAATTTGATCCTTTTTCTGTTTTTTTTTCCTTCTTGTTCCTGATGCTGTATGTGAATAATTACTTTAGGCGGGAAGATAGTGATTAGAGTCTTTTTTCTTTTATCCGGAGTAAAAATTCAGCTCGGTTCCGCAGTACTTTTTTCTTCATCAGCTCAGTACATGTGAACAGTGGTTCTCCTGCAGGCGATCTTAACCCTCAACCATTTAAGCTTTGATGGATAAAACCAGAGACGTGTTCCTTCAAATCGGCCAAATCTTTACGATGAGACATTCACGAAAAAGGCACATCTGTTTTTCCAGCCGCTGCTGTTCCTCGTCCTGGCTCTGTTATCCTGTGGTGGCTTGTGAGGATTTCTACACAACAACTTGAGGAGAATTTTATGATGTTTCAGTGTGATTGATAACCTGCTCGTGGAGGGTTGTCAGGCTTTCAGATCCGGATAATGTGGATTTCTATCTATCCGCCTCCTTGTGTGAGACGTGCCATCAATCAAGTGCATCACGGCCTTAACCCGGTAAAATTAAAACCTTGGGGGGGGTGGGGGCGGGAGACACGGGGTCTCCGTGGAACCGGGACACGCGCATCAAAGGAGAGCGCGACAGAATCAGAACACAGAACGACGTTGTAACAGCCTCGGAGGACAGGATGGATACGAGACTGCGATCCCCGGGCAGAACAATACAGTTAATGATCCGGCGGTATATCGGTGTTGACAGTGGAGAAGGATTACAGGAAGAACAGTGTCATTTTCACTGTGTGTGGAGGCGTTATTAGATCCCGGCCCAGCTAATTTAATTCCCAACCCCGTCAATATTTACCAGCAGCAGGGGCAGCTCAACAGAGAGGAGATGCAGAGTCGACGCGATCGTCTGAGAAAATACACACTCGGGTGTCATGAACATAACTTTACCACTATTCTTGGGCTGGTTTCCTGCGAAAGCTTGTTTGTCTGGACATGATGAGGCAGACAAACCGCAAATTAGCCCAGTTAGCGCGAGATGTGTTGTGTCGGAACCTGCGCGCTCTTGTTCCTCCTCGTAGGCCTAACCTCCCTTTGTGTGTCTGTGTTGTGTTTCAGTGGATGGCTGCATACACAAAGCAGCGGGGTCCTGTCTGTATGATGAGTGCCATTCACTAAATGGCTGTGAAACCGGCAAGGCCAAGATCACCTGCGGCTATGATCTCCCTGCAAAATGTGAGTACCTGTTGTTTCTTCTGTTTGTTTCGTTGTGTGCTCCAATGCCTCGAAGGAGTATTTTCTAATCAAAGCGGCCGCCTTACAGGGCTGCATCACCCGGCAGTGGGTGAACATTAAGATTTAGTGGTAAACGTTACAGCATTAATTGATATTGGGTTTTTTTTATATAATAGCCTAATTTATTCAAACCTAATGCAGCCGAACCAGCTGCTGGACTCCTCTGGCATTCCACTGAAGCAGAAAATCACTGCCGTTTTATTTTGCAGCAGGTTATTGCGATTCTTGTGTGCACACATCACATTTTCAACAAGGTCATAGTTTCTATGAAGAAGTGCGAAATTAACTGCACCCACACACACACACACACACACGCACACTGCAGGAGGGCACGCACACACACACACACACACACACACACACACATGCACACTTCCACACCTGCAGATAATGACTGGGGTCATTAGCGTCCACTTCAAAACGTGGGATTGGGATGCTTTTAATGTCCAAAATAAAAGCACTTGAATCATAATTTACTAGTTTTGGAAACTAATTAGTATTAAATGGGGGGCCTTGTTATTTGAAGGATAATTAATGTGATTGGTGCTTATGTATAGGTGAATGGGAGTGTCCTCTATACACAAAGAAAGGCATAAAGGGACCTATTTGTTTCTTGATTTGAATTTGATTTTTCATCCCTGATTTATTCTGTTAAAGGATCACACAACTCTTGCACCGTCATGCCATAAATGATCAGAGAAGCAACCACACTTTTTGTTTTTCTCTATCATTTATGTAACGTAAGAAAGAAATGTTCAACGAACATTTGTGTCGCATTTTGTATGTGCCTCTCATGATTGAAACACTTCTGAGCCAATTTCTTTTGATAATCGTCGGTATAACGTGCGTCACAACTTTAAAAGTTAAAAGACAAGCTTCTTCTGTGGCCAACTTGAAATGGAAAACACGATAGGATGGAATAAATGTCACTGGGTGTAATTCGGTCGAGACAAACGTCCCAGCGGTCCTAACCTAACCCCCGAAGGATTTCCACGAGACAGCCAAGAGAAGACGTCGAGGCCCAGATGAAATTAGGCTGTGTTAATACGGTATGTCGTAAAGATGTCAAACAAATGGAGCAGATAAACTGTGAGTCAGTCTTGTGGGCATCCAGTTCAAGCATCTGCGGCGGCGAAACAGGGTGCACCATGACAATTTAATAACCTGCAATGTCACCTGGGAGCAATCACACTGCCACTGCGTGCTGTTAGTGTAATTATCTCTGGGCCAAACACCTTCCCTGTGCTGGTAAATCGTCATAGATTGTGTACTTCTTCACCGGGAGCAGTCAGCTGAATTTTGAGCCCGATGTTATTTCATATTAGAGCTATCTTTACACCCGGCCTGTATTATCTTCTTATCTTCCAACTTTGATCACTGTCATCACCGGCGTTGTCTCTCTCTCTCTCTCGCTCTCTCTCACTCGTCTACTCTTGGAAACTGACAACCGCTCGACTTTTTTTCGTGAGCGCTCAGTTCTGACAAGACGTAGAAGTCTATCATCAGTTTGGATTTTGTTCTTCTTCCATTGAATTACGTTTCTTTTTTATGTTCCACCTACACACACATTATAACGCTCCCGTGACAGCAAACAACCTATTTGGTTTATGAATTCTCAAATAGTCTGTCCACCCCCTCAACACAAAACAAACATGTCAAAACATGATTTTCACAATTTTGAATTCCCCTAAATTCATAGTTGCTGCATGGAGCCGGAGCACAAAAGGATAAAAGCTTGCAATGATATAAAGCTTGCATTGACATGGTAAACATGTAGTGGTTTGAATGAAATGTAATTTCACATTAACTGCCAGCTGCTGTGGCTGAAGCTAAATACATAAAATGGTTAACATTGAATTATTGTAACATTTGTATAATCTAATGATTCATTTCAGCCTCTTAAGATATCTCAGAGTAAATGGATCATCATGATAATCAACAGAGGTGGCTATTGAAGCGGCAGGAACATAATGTAATTCATAAGCTGTTAAAAAGCTACTCTGTCTACAGTCTACTCAGAAACACAAATGGACAAATCTGCCCGATTGAGAACTGCACTGCAGTTGTGGATGGATTGGCTTTCACTTGTCATTGTCTTGTCTTCAAAATGTGAAAAGAATATTATTGTTATAACTTTTGGCCTGTTTGCACTTTTTTTTGTAGTCTCAAATTCAAAAATATTTAAATGGTTAAAGTGGCACTGAAGTGACAAATAGCACATATGGAGCAAGTAGTCTAAATAAACATTATTTCTTTAATTTCACGCACGCACACACTTGGATTTTATTCTGAGTAAAAATGTTATTAGTAAATGTTTACTTTTTCACCAAGATTATTACTATTATGATGTGCTTTTTTACATGCATCTCCAAAATGTGACGAAAGCGTGCCTTCCTGTACACATGTGTACTCCCACTGCAGGCAAAATTACCTCCTTTGACACAGATCTGCAGATGGTGGCACGTCTCCTCCTCAAAGACAGAGGAGCGCACAGGCAGATGGACCACTTACCGTTTACTTCTTGGCAACGCCAGGTATCTCTAATGTGGGCATTCTCATCCAAGATTTGCCTGAATAATTAGTGTGCTTTTCACAATCTTCAATAAACATAATCTCACAAGAGGATTGTATTGTTCTGTGAGGGCCGCTTCTCTGAAATAGAGTCCACTGCATGCAATTGGAAATAAGGAAATCTCAGCCCTGAGTAATGTAGAGCAAACTGAATCACTTTGCTTTTTATTATTATTATTATAGGGATTTGTGTTTGGCTTCCCAGCAGTCACATCAGGACTGCAATATCAGGACTGCCAACAATGCTTGGAACTAAGTGATCCATTTGGTGAAAATAGCCATTTCTGTTGATCCCACCGCATTTATGGAGTCTTTAAGGGTTATTTCAATATATCACCCATGGTGTATTATATTTCATTCAACGAAGGATTATGCCGAGCAATTTTGTTATTTTATGTGAGAAATTGACAAATCGCAGTTTAAAGATAATACTCAAATAAGTTTTAAAGCAATAAAATGCTTCCTTAGTTTCTGGGAAACTACTTATTGCTCGCAGGAAGAGGAGCATTTGATCTGAAATCAGAGTTGTCCTTGTTTGGAGATATGATGTGCTGAGGGAATGGAAAATGACTGAGCTTACCCGCCCCATCTTGATGTTTTTCGCCTTTTTTAGCGAGACAAGAAAATTGCTCTCCATTACATTCTTCTAAGCAGTTTAGACGTTCCAGGGGCAAATGAGCCTTTCCTTTAAGAGGGCCGAGCACATGTGGGACAGATTATTATGGGGCTGGCCAAGGATTATTAATCAATGACAGTAATTACCCACCTACCATAGCGGAAAGACTCCAAAAAACAGAGTCCTATTGCATCAATATGACAGGGAAATTGTCTATTTAACCTAATGTTAGACAAGTTCCTCATCTGTTCATAGATTGATGATCAAATGAAAATATGTTGTCAAGTGTAACGAGCTAAGTCACATTTTTATGACCATATGTCTGGCGTCATTGTCAATAATTGTTTCATTTTTAGTATTTAGTTTTAAGAATGTGCCATTCCTAAAGCAATAAGTTAAGATGGTGTATGCGTTCCCGAATAATTGCAGTGAGTGGAAATCCCACTATCATCATTTGATACATTGAAATTAATAGAAACTGTATGTATTTTACTCCTTTTGGTATTCAGAATCGTTGCACCGTGTCTCTTTTCCATCTGCGGTTGTTTTATGCCACGTCGAAAGCTGAAATCTCTGTAATGGTGTTCATTATTCCGTGCGTCATCCTTGTCCTTTGCAGATACAGACATCATTAGGTCACCTGTGAACATTTGCTTTTTAAAGCGTTGTAAAGCACATTAGCAGCGCTGTGTCTGGTAAAGAGATATCGAACGGTTCAAAAAGCCATCTTTGTTGCTGGGAGCTGATGCGATGACAAATGGGTGGAGAATTGTCCAGAGTGGTTTTCTTAAACAGGGACTTAAGCTGAGAGCGCACAAAAAATGTGCATTTTACATTTTAATTTGGGGCGTTTTTATTTTTTTATTTGGGTTTTTCAGGGTTTAAGAGGGAACATTTAACAAGCGGGGAAAGTGCACACTAAGGATGGTGAAAAGTAGAGAGTGGAATCTTAAGTATTTTCCATAATCCTCCTAAATATCAACATACGAAGTTACAATATCAACATACGAAATACAAAGTTGAAATCCACCAGATGGTGGATTTTAACTTTTATGTTGGGATGATAAAGATAGCTCTGATCTCTATCGTAATATATATATATATATTATCAGTGTGTTGACAAAAGGCCAATTTAAAAGCCCGACAAAACGTCCTTGTTGTGTTTCCTCAGTGCGAACTTTCCCTGATACAGCGGGCTTGGACGGAGTGTGTTCTGGTGTTTTCGTGTTTTCTTATTTTTTCCAGCTAAGTTCATCTCCCTTACTCCGGATCTGTCCATGCTGGATCCGTCCCTGTATATTCAAAAGGCAAGCATGGGAAGCAAATCACGGCGCTAGCACGACTGCATCCAGCTAGTTAAAGCGTCTCTACGGAACCTTTGCATGTGCGGCTTCTCTTTCACACCAGTCCGTTGTGAGGTCCGGCTGATCTGGGTCCGCCAATTTTCTCCGCCAAAGTTCTTCTTTCAAACGGGTCTTGGAGGAGAGATTTTAACGAGTTTGGGTTTGCTTTTCTTGGAAGAACACTGCTCGTGCTCGCCTGGTCATGTCGTTAAATGGGCGCCTCGCGAGTCTCGCCCTGATGAGAGCGCAGCGCAGGGCCAAGACTGGATCTATTTTAGGACGCTGATTGGCTAAGTTATATGTCACTCATTTATATCTTTAATCAGTAATTGGCTAAACTGCTTCTTAGACCCAGATTGATTTGGCCCCAGCCCAGCTGAGACATGCAGAGGACGGGCAGGAAAAGCACA